CTTAGCTGACAGTTATCATGCAAATATTTGGTTAAGAGAGTCTGAGAGGCTTGATATCTAACCACATGTCTATGTATTCTTTTTTAAAATTGATTTCAGAGAGGAAGGGAGAGGGAGAGAGATATTGAAACATCAATGATGAGAGAGGATCATTGATCAGCTGCCTTCTGCACACCCCACCCTGGGGATCGATCCCTCAACCTGGGCATATGCCCTAACCGGGAGTTGAACCATGACCTCCTAGTTCATAGATTGACGATCAACCACTAAGCCATGATGGCCAGGTTCTAAGTATACTTAACATACCATAGAACTACTTTTACTATATTTATGCTTCAGCATAGGTATTTTTTTGCTTTTATCAAAAATTGTCATGAAAACTATAAATTCCACCTTTTCATTCAGTGTGAAGTTGTTAAGGAGAACCTTGTATTACTTAATACCTCCTCTTAGATAAAAAGAAGGATCCCATTTTATTTCTTCTCTCCCTCTCTCTTTTCCTTTTATCCTTTTGGTTTCTTTTTCTTTTCTTTACCCTTCACTATAGTTTCCAGAAAGTCTTGATCAAGTTTTATATTTAATTTCAGCCTCTGCCTTACTTCTTATGATGATTGGAAATTGGGTTTCTATTCCTTAATTCTACATCCCTACTTACCTCCTTATTTTGGTAATCTTAATGTTTCTGTTACATAAAAACATCATTTAAAAATAGGAGAATATGCCTAAATTCAATTAAATATATTTTTCTTATGTCCCCAGGTACTTAACTGCTTTGGATGGTGAGCAGTGAGGACAGGCCAGTCAAATGGAAAGTTAGGATGAAAGGCTTGGTCATCGCTGATTTATGTGTGATTCAGAGCCACTTCTAATGAACCTGCTCTGAATAAGGCAGGCGTGTTCTCTCTTCTTAACAGATTTATCCTTTAAGAGCATGGGAGGAAGAGTCAGGTTCCTTGAATTCTAGCACCTAGTGGCCTCTAACTAGCTATTAACTGGGGGTAGATCTCTACCCCTTCCTGAAACTCAGGTTCTTCATCTCTAGTAAAAAGTTGGATAGAGAAATACTGAGTCCATTTCAGCTCTAACTCCCTATGACTCTCTAGCTTCTTCTACTACCGGTATGGAAGAGTGGTCCCTGCTCTCAACAAGCTTAGATTCTTTGAAGGAGATAAAATATAAACCAGCCCTATTTGTAAAGAATTATATATGTACAAGTAGATCTGCATACTGAAAGCCCAAGTTTGCTAATCAATACCTGGCTGAGACAGAAATATTTGCCTCTTGTTTTCTTTCTTTAGGATGATAATCTAAACTAATTTGAATAAAATTAGAATTTCATAATTAATTATCCTAAGTCTTTTTATTTTAAGATGATAAGAAACAAACAAAAGAATCTCTATTGTTTCTATTGTTGGGTCTGAGCATTCTTGTTAGGTGAAGTGTGTCCTGCATATACAGGATGGGAATGATTAGGACTTGGACAAATAATCTGAGTTCTAGTTGAGATAATCTGTCAAAAGGATAATTTAGAATGAAAACACAGTTTGAAAAGTGCATGGGGAAACATACTCTCCTACACTGACTGTAGATGCATAAATCTATATAAGCTTTTGAAAGGAAACAGCTAAAGCTTTAAAAATATGCATTACTAATGCTTAAGCAATTTCCCTCCTGGGAATGTATACTATAAGGTCAGTGATGGAGAACCTTTTGAGCTCGGCGTGTCAGCATTTTGAAAAACCCTAACTTAACTCTGGTGCCGTGTCACATATAGAAATTTTTTGATATTTGCAACCATAGTAGAACAAAGATTTATATCTTTGATGTTTATTTTATATATTTAAATGCCATTTAACAAAGAAAAATCAACCAAAAAAATGAGTTCGCATGTCACCTCTGACATGCGTGTCATAGGTTCGCCATCACTGCTATAGGTCATCATAACTGCAAACAAAGATCTAGCATAAGGTGCCCTGCCTGCGTGGCTCAGTGGTAGAACCTCAACCTAGGAACCAGAGGTCTTGGTCTGATTCACGGTCAGGGCATATGTCCCAGTAGGGGGCATGCAGAAGGCAGCAGATCGATGATTCTCTCTTATCATTGATGCTTCTATCTCTCTCTCTCTCTTCCTCCCTCTCTGAAATCAATAAATATAAAGATATAGCATAAGGCTGTTTCTCACAACTTTATAAAAATAAAAAAAGTTTAGATCTAAATGTTCTAAACTAGAAGATGATTTTAGGTGGCATAAGGGATAACTTTTTAATATTTAAGTACTTATTCACCATTAATTTAAAATATACTAGTTTTCCATTTATGTTAGTAATATAAAATTTTATTTTAAAATAAATTTAAGAAAAGTCAGATAGGTGGAATTTGAATGAATACATTTGGGGAAAATCCTGTGATGACAGAAATTTCTGTAGTAGGTGGACTTGACCTTAAGCTCTCTAAAGTTCTTTCAACTTTGAGATGCTCTGATTCTATAACAATGGTTCTGTGTCCGTGGCATTGGCTGCCTGTCCTCTAAAAATGAATCGTGCACTTGGGCAGACAGAAGATGCATCTTCAAAGATACCCAGAGAGGTGAAGCTGTGTGCATTAATATCCCCCATTTGCTCCTTCCACAGCAGTCACACCAGCTCCCTTGCTATTCCTGGTCCACCAATGATCCTTTCCACCTCAGAGACTTACACTGTTGGTCCTTTGGTGAGGGAGGTTTTCCCCCCAGACATCTGCATGGCACCTCCTCAGAGAGGTCTTCCCTCTAAAATGGTTCCGTTACTACTCCTCACTCTTATCCTACTGTATTGTTTATTTCTCATTTGTTTCTCTCCTCATAGAATATCAGCTCCATTGAGCATAAAAAGCTTTTGAAAGGAAAGCTTTTGCTGTCTTATTCATCACTGGATCCCTTGGGGATGTCTGGTGCAAAGACCCTAAGGCAGAACTATGCCCAGTGTGTTTAAGGCTCAGCAAGGAGGCCTGTGTGAATAAACTGGTGTTGAGGAAGGAGAACCTAATAGGATTCCCAGGGTGTTTGTTGTTTTTTGACACAGGTACCTGAAACATAAGGGAACCTGCTGACCACTACCTGCTTTCACCAGTCTTCATGGAAAGGGAAAGTGCAGCATAAAGAAATCTGATAGTGCCTCTCCTGTTGCGAAAACATGGACAGGAAATGGGCATTTGGTTGTCACTGAGGATCATTTCATCTCATATTCCAGTTGAAACTAACGACCTTGGAAGAGGATAGGAGATATTGGAAGGAAACTGCTAGCTTCATAAACAAGTT